CAAAATGTTAGACCAAGCGTGGACCCTATGGAGCATGTCCTGTGAGGTGGCAGGAGTGGTCTAGGCAGCCTTTAGCTGAGGGAGGGCCCTGGGAGCCATCAGCATGTAATGGGACTAGAATTGTGGAAAGCATGTATAGAATAACAAGAGCGAGCCAACACTGGAATATATGTGTGAGAAAAGCCCTCGCACCCAGATACTGCTTCTCTTGGCAAGGATCAGTGCATGTAGCCTCCCTGACTTGTGGGCTTGGAGGTTCCCTGGGGGCTGGAGCTCTTTCTCGTTTTATTTGAATCCCTCACGTATGTAGCCTGGCCCCGTGAACAGTGTGCATGTTCCATAGATACCTGTTCCATGAAACCTGGGAGCACTGGACTGTTGGGCAAGCTGTCTCCTTGCACCCGAGTTACCTTATGTCCTAGACAGAAACAAAAACAGGGTTGTGAAGGTGGAACCAGAATACAGAAGCGGAATGCTGATGAAGTGACCTTAATAAAACAAACCATTTGCAAGCTAAAGGAGTAGGGCACAGGAGCACCTGCAGTCACAGCCCACGAGGGACCCTGGAGACCCTGAAGCAGTTTAGGAATGGCCGGGGCCTGTGCCCTCGTTCCTGCTAGCTTTTCAGTCTCTTCCGGCTGCCCCTGCTGTGAAAGGAGGCATGCTCAGAATCGGAGCCCATGACCTTCTAGACTCCTCTGATGCCTCACTACTCAAAAGTGGGACCCATGGTACAGCCACCCCTGCGCCTTCTGCTTCTCCCAGGGGCTTGTTTGAGACGGAGATTTTCACGTGCCTCCATGTCTTAAAGCTCCAGTGGATTCCAAGGCAGACAGTGCAAGAACTGTTGTTCTTTTTGCTCCAAAGTGACCGTGGGAGGTGCCTCAACCTAACTGTCCTCAGTGCTGCCTCTTGGCTCTGTAGGCTTGAACATTTCTGACTTTGATTGCCAGAAGCAGCTTATTGCTGGCTTGCAAAGAGGAAGCTGCAAACCTCACCCCACCCTACACCACACGTCCATGCACTCACCACTGGTAAACAACAGACGTGGGGCCTGGTGACTATCAGGGAATTTCCAAGACCTGACAGGACATGTTTTAAAGAAGGAGGCTTCGTCTGCTCTGGTCTGTGGAAGCCTGGGGCCTGTGCCTCCCTGCCCCTTTCTTTTCCATTTCGTGTGTGCCTGTTGTGCCTGCATGTGTGTGCGTCTGCATCTGTGTGTGTTGTGTGTGTATGTGTGTGTATCTATGTGTGTCTGTCTGTCTGCCTGAATGTTGAGGCCCAAGGTTGATGTCAGGAAGCATCCCCAGTCATCTTCCTCTTTAACTTATTGAAGTAACGTCTGTAAATCAAACACGGGGTCCCTGAAATGGCCAGCCAGCTTGTTCCACGGACACCCCCCCCCCCCATCTCTGCTCGTTAGGCCTAGAATTACAGGTGGTTTGCCCTGCCCACCTGACATTTATGTGTGTTCCAGGGGGTCTGAACTCTGACACTAACACTTGCACGGCACATGTGTGAAGGTCGGGGACAGCTTGTCTCCTTCCACCGTTTGGGCCGAGGGGCTTGAACTCAGGCCATTAGTCTTGGTGTCAAGTGCCTGTACCAGCTGAGCCATCTCGCCGGTCCCAGTCTCCCCTGTAAAACGCCACTTTCCTGACCTGGAAAATGAGAAACGACTCTTACCTAGTCATCGAAGAAGTCCCTAAATAGTCCACACTGCTGGAGGACATCAGGAAAAGGCCTCTGCTGTGCTGAAATTGTCATCCCTGGGGAAATTGGACATCGATAGGCACACAAGTTAAAAAAAAAAAAATAAGACATAAATCTGAAAAGTTTGTGAAGTAATCAGACAGGATAATGAGACGGAGACAGGTGTGTGTGTGTGTGCGCGCTCACTCGCATGCATTTATGTGTGTGTGTGTGTGTGTTGTGTGTACACGCATGCTCGAGGTGGGTACCAGGAGAGTGGTGTCCAGGAAGTGACAGTCCCCAGGTCTCTAGCAGAGAAGGAGCAGGTGCTCTGGTCAGGTGGGTGCGGAGTGGTCAGGTGAGTGAGGAGAAGAGCTTTAGGAAGGAGCGGCTAGGCAAGACCCTGGGACAGGGGCTGAGGCACAAGAGGCCGGCTGCGTGGCCTCGAGGTGGGGGTGGCAGCAAGGTTGGGGGGTGGGCCTAGTGGGTCTGGTGAGAGTGTTTGATTTTTACTCTAAGTGTGAAAGAGGCTGCTTCTAAGTGTGAAAAGCAAGAGATGATTTGAGATGCTTCTCCAGAGGATGGCTATGACTGTTGCGGGCCTGCGTGGGAGGGTTGAGCCTGTGTGGGAGGGCTGGGATAGGGTTGGGTAGAGGCAAGAGGAGGCAGCGAGGAGAGCTAGGGTAAAAGGGTGGAGAGGGGCTGGAGGTGCTTCTGAGGAAAGAAGTTGGTTAGAGTGAGAGAGGGGAGGAACTTGGGTGGGGGAGGGGCTGGGCTTCTATGAGTTAGTGGGGATTGGAATCCAGGTGAGAGAAAGGAAGACTGCACCAGACCCATCTCCTGCTCCTTTAAAAACGCTTGAGAATTCTGCTCTCTTTATCCAGGAAGAGTGATTATAAAGTGGTCTTCTTTATCCTAAGGGCAAACATCCAACACCCCCAGCAGATGCTTAAAACCACACACGTGTAGAACTGACTTCTGTTTACACCGTGAGTTACCAAACATGTACGTACCTAGGATACAGCGTAATTTATATATTGGACTTAGGAAGACGTGAGCAGCAACTGGTAATACGGTAGAATGATTACATTCGTATGCTGTAACGAATTTATGGGAATATGGGTTTTTTTTCTCTTTCAAATATAATTTTGTTTTTAGACAGAAATTTACTATGTAATTAGCCCAAGTTTGTCTTGAACTCACAGTGATCCTCCTGCCTCTGCCTTATAATGGTTGAGATTATAGATAGGTGAACATGAGCCACCACCCCCACATATCTGTTAAAAAAAATATGTATGTATGTATGTATGTATGTATGTATGTATGTATGTATGTTGGTGGTGTTTGTTTATCATTGTTTACCGGGTCTTGCTCTGTGGCCCAAACTGGCATCAAAACCTCCTACATCAGCTTCTCAAGTTCAAAATATATCAGGGTGCTGTACTCACCCATCTTTTTCCCCTCTCAACCACAGTTAACCTTGGGTAGCTGAGTCAGGGATATGGAAACCACAGGTCAGAGAGGGTGACTGCACAGCTGTCTACAAGACTGAGTGTGACTTCAGAGAAACCCCCCGTGTTAGTCCTCAAGGACCCTGGGACTGAACTGCGGGGTCCAGATTCCTCTGGGTCCCTTCCCAGTAGATTGGGCCAGCTCCTCTGCCTGTCTGTGCTCTAGGTACCAAGGCAAGAGGTAGGAGGTGCTGGTGGGGCTTAGAGCAGGGATTAAGGAGAGGAGCAGGCTTTCGGGAGAGCTGCAGGGACCTGGAGTCTTGTGATCTGCTGAGACTTGGTCATGGTCTCTTGGGGGTTTGTTTCCCTCTGGAGCCCAGCTAGCCCTCAGCTCTCTGAAGAGAGCACAAAGGCCAGGATTGATCTGCAGGCAGCACGCAGCATGCAGCAGCTTAACTTAGACTTTCCAACCAGGTAGACTGTAGGTTCTCAAGGGAAAGGAAAATCAGTTCTTGCCTGGGGATAGACTGGAAAAAAAATCTAAAGATTTTTTTTATTGCTGCCTCACCTTCCAGATGACCTCAGTATAAACACACAGGAGACCTGTGACGGTAAATTTCATCAGGAGACAGCAAATACTGTACCTCAGAAAGCTTCTTCAAGGAATAAAACGCAAAACAGGCTCAAAAGTGCCAGTTTGCCAGGGCAGATGGCACGTGCTGTCACCCTAACACTGAGGAAGGAGGTTTGTGAGTTTGACACCAGTCCGTGCTACGTGGGGAGAAATGTTCAAAAATAAGAATAGTAATAAAGTCCAAAAAGAAGAAAGGTGATGGTGTAGGTGGCCCGTGAGACTTTCCAGCTGAGAAGGGTTAAATCAATAGAAGAGTTCAAGCCTTTACTGTTTTGATATGTTAGTTCATCAGATACACTGGCAGCAACACGTGTCACTCTACCCTTAGACCCGTGATTGTGCTCTGGAGTTCCCTTTGTTAAACTCTCAGTGTGGCGAAAGTCTCACACACTTGGTGAAGAGGCGCAGCATCTTTGAGCCCCTCTTTTGCCCCTGACAGACATGGCAGCCTCCCTTCCCCCCGCTTTGCTCCCAACAAGCTTTGCCACGCAGCCCCCGTCTGTCATCTGGTGTGGTCTGATACTGACCAAAAAGGGAAGGTGTTTATAATCCCCAAATTCCAGATGAGGAAACTGAGGCTCAGAAAAAGGTTAATGACTCAGATGTAGGCAAGTGCCCGGCCCTGGTGTGACCTTTGCTTCTTTTGATCCCTAATCCTGAGCCTTGTCCAAGGCCCATCGAGGAGATGGGAGAGGTAACGTGGGAACTCTGGCAGGGCCCTGTGATGAGAAACTGTCCTTTATTCCTTGCCATAGCACAGAAGGACATGGACCAGGGCACAGTTTGCCTGCTGCGCTGTGTAGAGGTCCCTGGAATGGCTGTGGCCTCATTGTTTGGCCTAGTTACCACAGTCCTTCATTGTTGGACTGTTATTGCTATGTGAGATGATGGAGCCCTCACACTGTGCTCACGTTTAAAATACTCTCGCCGCCAGTCTCCTTCGGAGAGCCAGGCTGAGCTATGCTCCTCGGATCACCTCCTCACCTCCCTTGCTTGCAATGAGGGAGCAGAAAATAAATAAATAAGGGACAGGAGAAAATAAAAGGAAGCCAGTGCTGGGGAGCCGTAAGCCGCAGCTCAGTGTTTGGGCATGTGTCGTTCGGCTGCACTGGGGTGGCTTGGCTGGTACGGCTTCCAAATGGATGCAGCATAGAGAACAGGGCCTCACAAACAGTTAAGTGGTAGCTGTGATTATTCAAAGCCTTTTCCACCTTGATTTGTAGGGGTTTGCCTAACCACCTGTGACGCCCACATTTTGATACACTTGTGTCACCTTCTATAAACAAGATGGCAAGAGAGAGACTGACTCTATCTCCAAGCCCATGAGGGGTAAGGCCCCTTCTGGCCCAAAGATGGGGAACATCACTACGGAAAACTCCTCCCTAACCTGCCCCATCGACCACACCATCCACCAGACGCTGGCCCCGGTGGTCTATGTGACGGTGCTGGTGGTGGGCTTCCCAGCCAACTGCCTGTCCCTCTACTTCGGCTACCTGCAGATCAAGGCCCGGAATGAGCTGGGAGTGTACCTGTGTAACCTGACCATTGCAGACCTGTTTTATATCTGCTCGCTGCCCTTCTGGCTGCAGTACGTACTCCAGCACGACAACTGGTCCCACGGTGACCTGTCCTGCCAGGTGTGTGGAATCCTCCTCTACGAGAACATCTACATCAGCGTCGGCTTCCTCTGCTGCATCTCCATCGACCGCTACCTGGCGGTGGCCCACCCCTTCCGATTCCACCAGTTCCGTACGCTGAAGGCGGCCGTGGGTGTCAGCGTGCTCATCTGGGCCAAAGAGCTGCTGACCAGCATCTACTTCCTCAAACACAAGGAGGTCATTGAGGACGAAGACCAGCACCGAGTCTGCTTTGAGCATTACCCCATCCAGGCTTGGCAGCGTAGCATCAACTACTACCGCTTCCTGGTGGGGTTTCTCTTCCCCATCTGCCTGCTGCTGGCCTCCTACCAGGGCATCTTGCGCGCCGTGCGCCGCAGCCACGGCACGCAGAAGAGCCGCAAGGACCAGATTCAGCGTCTGGTGCTCAGCACCGTGGTCATCTTCCTGGCTTGCTTCCTGCCCTACCACGTGCTGCTGCTGGTGCGCAGCGTCTGGGAGGCCAGCTGTGAGTTTGCTAAGAGCGTCTTCAACATCTACCACTTCTCCCTCCTCCTCACCAGCTTCAACTGTGTAGCTGACCCGGTGCTGTACTGCTTCGTCAGCGAGACCACTCACAGGGACCTAGCCCGCCTCCGAGGAGCCTGCTTAGCCTTCCTCACCTGCTCCAGGACAAGCAGGGGCAGGGAGGCCTACCCTCTGGGTGCCCCTGAGGCCTCTGGGAAAAGTGGGGCCCAGGGTGAGGAGCCTGAGTTGTTAACTAAGCTCCACTCAGCCTTCCAGACCCCTAACTCGCTGGGAGTGGGGGGACCTCCCACAGTTGGGTTGGCCTAGCTTGTGTGGCCCGTGTGTGCGGCTAAGCTAAGCCTATGCTTTCATCAACAGGCCTTGTGGTCTGGAGCTTGCATGGTGGCCGTCTCCCACTTTGCCATGTACGGGTGCCTCTTTCCTCGGGAAGGAACCCTGGGTCTTTGGCCACTGCCAGGTCCCTCTGGCCCCTGGAAGTCTACTCTGTGTGCTAAGCCAGGGCACAGCTGAGTGCGAGGATGAGCCCTGGCTTCTCTCATGTTCTCCGATGCTTCCTGGGCTACAGGTGGGAGGGAGTCAGAATCTTCACTTCCGGGAGGTTTGCAAAGAGCAGCTGGGCTGGGGTGTGGAGGAGGAGGAGGAACCTGGGTGTTCGCCTGCCAAGCCTTCCAGTGCTGCTGTCATCACGGATGATGCCAGCTCAAATGTGCTGTGGTCTTGTGTGACACAGGAAGCTGTATTGTCACCATCAGTGCTTGAGTTCGCCTTTAACCTAGTCTAGAACGAAAGACTGGTTAAGATGATGAACCGGGCGGGGGTTGGGGCATGGGTGTGGATGGGACAACAGCAGATTTGCCACAATGCCAGACCCATCTCACTTTTACAGTGCTAGTCAGACAGATTCCTCAAACCCAAGGGCTGATGGACAGATGCCAGGGGCCCTTTAAAATGTCATATAAAGCTCAGGAAGAGAACTTGGGCCTGAAGCTGTGTCCCTAGCCAAGTTCCAGACACAGGCTTTTCTTAATTAGCTTTTTGTTTCCATCTGACCAGAATGTAATCCCCGAGAGCCTGAGGGAAAAGAGGGAGAATATAAAAATGGCAGGGTGTCTATGGCAACTGTGTGCCAAGACACTGATACTAGGATCATGTGACTGCTGTCAGTAGCTCCTGCCCCTCTCCCCACACATGATAGAGCATCCAGCAGCCTTTGAGAGGAGTGTTACAGTTTCCCAGAGTTCCTAGGTATACCTAAAGTAACAAAATGCACACATTGTCATGGCTTTTGATACAGGTTTAGACTCAAGGTCTACTCTGGTGTAAATAGTTCCTGTGGGAGAGTTGGCAGAGATGGCTGCATGCCAGAAAGACCCATACCTACCCTAGCCTAGGACCTTCGGGCAATGGTGATAGCTGACTGTTCTGTGTCTCTTCATTCCACAGTATTTCCCCCTATTTGACCTGAAATTCTGGATCCCCACTGGCTTGGACTGGAACAGGCTGAGCCCAGCTCCCCTACTACGGGGAGCTGTATTGTTGTATTGTCTTCTCTCTTAGGCCGATTATCCCTGTGTTGGACTGTGAGGTTTGGGTTCATGTAGTGTGACTCCAGTCTGCAAATAAAATGAAGTAGCCAATCACAGCAGAGTGTGTGCAGTCCTTCCGGGAAGGGACGCCGCCCACACTAAGGGAGACCCAAAGTGTCTTTGAAAGACCCCAAACAGTCAGGAAGATCCAGAGGTTGACCTTGGAGAAAACTCAAGGCAACCTGGGGGATGCCCTTGGGCACCTAACAAGTGGTCAAGCCCAAGCCGTTGTGGCAAGGGTTACGCATCAGTGCAGCACGCTGTCACACATCTACCCTGGGCGCATCTGTACAGGATGTTGTTGCAAATCCTTTTGAGGATGAGGCCCAGCCCTGTGGTTTGGGGAATGCCACACCCTCTGTCTTTGACCACACAGGACTGTGTATGCTGAGTAGCTGCCCCCGGCCACGAGGGTGAGCCCCCATCAGACCAGGAGAAGGGCCTATTGCCTTCTTCTCTCCAGAACCAATCAGTTCTGTTTGGAGACGCCCTCCTTGTTTGTTGGCAACCTCTGTCTGCCGGGCCATCCCGTCAGCAGTGGCAGACTCTGTTTATCACGAAGGATTGCTCACATCCTACTGAAACATAAATTTGATTTTGACCACTTAATCCCCCCGTGGGTCAGGCTCCAGGAGTCATGGAGTGTTATGGAAGAATAGAGTTTTTCTTCCAAGCAGACTAAGCCAGGACACTATTGAGGATTAATCCTGCTTTCTCTCCTAAGAGAAGGGCTGGGAGGAAAAGCCCATCTGCTTTGGACTGAAGGTGATAGAAAGCCATTAAGATTCCTTTCTTACTCCCCAGTGTTGCTTGGTGAGACAGGACTCATCTTCCTGTTTACACACACTGGACTGTGGGTTGGCCCGAGAGAGTGGGAGAAAGCTTCAGTACAGAACTCATCTCCATCTGTTGCTCTCCAACAGCTCGGGTATTCTCGAGAAAGCTGGAATCTGGCCCAACTGCCTTATGCACCGGGGGATGGAGTCTTCACTTCCGGAACCCATCTGGTCTCAGTGTCCAGGGCTCTGGCGGATGTCAGTCCCGTTCTCTCTCAGTTAGCAGCCATCATAGGAATAGTGCTGTAGGAGACATTCGCTATCTGTGCTGGGGTATGCCGGAGAGGTCTCAATACCCAGCTTCCTCACTTGCAAAGTACCTTTTCTGGGTCCCTCAGTCCAGTCTCTCCGAAGGCACTGGCAGTGACAGCCAACTCACTCCTATGCAGTCAGGCCATTCCAGGAGCACCCTAAATTCCAGGGACCCTGATGCATCACTTTATCTACTGTTCCTGATGGGATGTAGCCCCCTGGGGACTGCTGTTGGAAGAAACTTCTTGGGGATGAATCTTCCACCTCAGGTTAGGCAAAGCAAGATTAAATTGGAGCAGTAAGTAACTCCCATCCAAATCACACAGCTGTGAAGCAAGGGGGGCGGGGCAAGAGTGTATCTCACAGTTAGCCTTGGCTTCAATCTCTAGCCCCAAACAATAAAAATAACAACGATAAACATAAAAGATGAGTACAGGTTTATTTTATGTTCGTAGGGTATGCAGTGAAGAGGGCCTAAGAATATGGCTTAATCAGGAAAGCGCTTTCTGTGTAAGCATGGAAACTGAGGTCAATCTCTAGAACCCACATTAAAAAAAAAAAAAAAAGCCAGCACTTGGGAGGCAAAGGCAGGTGGATCTCTGTGATTTTGAGGCCAGCCTGGTCTACATGGTGAATTCCAGGAGAGCCAGGGCTGCATGGTGAGACCCTGTCTCAAAACAACAACAAACTAAAAATCCCATAAAACAACAATGAAACCCAGCCAGGCAGGCTCCGATGGTTACATTTGTAATCCCAGGTCACCACAGACCTGGGGCTTGCTGGCCAGCTAGGCTAGCTGAATCAGCAAGCTCCAGGTTCGGGAAAAGACCCTAGTTCAAAAAAACAAAAACAAAAACAAAAACAAACAAACAAAAAAAACACAAAGGAAGTGGAGAACAATTACAGAAGGCATCCAACACCAAGCCTTGCTTCTCACACTCACGAGGGTGTGCCCGCACCTACACTTGTACACACACACACACACACAAACACACAGACACTCCAGTGAGGGGCTGCTTTCTGGCAAGTCTTTTCCCAAGTGAGGACAGCAATTCCAGACTCCTCTGTTACTGTAAAGAATGACAGAAACTGGGCACAGTGGCAAATGCCTGTGACCCCAGCACTCAGGAGAAAGAGGCAGGCTGATCTCTGTGAGTCTGCGGCCAGCTTGGACTACAAAGTGAGTCCGGAAGAGCCAAAACTACAGAGAGAAACCCTGTCTCAAAACAAAACAAAACAAACAGCAACAACAAAAAAGAAGAGAGGTAGAGACAAGCTGCTGCTGCCTCCTCCGGGAAGAGTTAACCCAGCTGTGCAGTTCAGGAAGATGGGGAGCGCTCCTAGGAAGATGTACCCATCCTAACCCACACTAAAGAGATAAGAGGGATAATTATCTCTTTAAAGAGATACTGTACTTTCTCTTCCCAGAATTCCTGTCTCCCAGCACAGTCCCTAAGAGCATCCCGGAGGTCCAGCTGGCTCTGCTGCTATCCCTTCTGAGTCCAGACTCACAAAGAAACAGCTTTCCCTTTTCCTTCTTTTCTGTCTTTCTTTCAGATACTGACCAGCACCAAATAATTCATTTTCTGGTACTTTTGGCTTCTTTTTTTTTTTACTCTTTTCCCCTTGTCTTGTCCATTTTCCCTCTCTAGGCACCTACTGAGATTTACAGATTCCCTGTCATGGAGGTTCCTTTTAAGCTCCAAAGCAATCAAGCTTCCATTTGAGTCCATTCTTGAATTATTTTATCAACAAGACTAAGAACCCTAAGAAGGAACTCCAATTTCTCAGGCATCATCTGTCAATCATGAAAGGACATCCCAGAATTTTCCAGTAGCAGTTCCATAATTGCTGGATTTCCCCTGCCCATCTACACAGGTAGGAGAAGTGTAAAGAGAACCCCACATGCAATAATGGCCAAATATGGAAGTGTTTGATAGGCCTGTTACTCATATTCCATTAGCCTGATCCTGGTCACATGGGCCCCAGCAGCAAGGGAGGCTGGGCAATGTAGTTTTTCTAGGTGACAAGAAGAGAGGTGAAATTGGTGAGGGTCTGGCCAATCTGACCAACAGTTCAAATCACCTCAGCTTAGGTCTTAAGCTGTTCATCTGAATGAAATCTACTTCTTCAAATGTGATATCTGGATCGGAACCTACATGAAATCATCTGCCTTGCCCCAAGGACCATATTCCTGTCCTTCTGTACTTCTGGCAAGCACATCATATCACTGATATAGAGAAAATACAGTTCTCTAATAAGCCACACATTCTCCATCTTGTTTAGAGAGCAGTGAACTTCATGGAGAGGCTGGCAGAAGCCATATGTAATGGGCAGGAAGTAGCAGATGCAATAGGCTGGGCCAACTTGGGATTGACAGGCAATGGGAAACAAGAAGTGACCTCAGAGTAGTGCCTTTGTAAACTGAGCAACAGGGGGTCAATTGTGCAGAGGACATCTAGGGACTAAGGAGCTGGCCTACCTATCAAGCATGCTACCTTCGTGAGCAGGTCACCAGCTTGCTTGTGAATACCACCTGTGTGTCCTGTGTACTATTTCCCAGGATCCTTCTCTATGGCATCCTGAAAAACCCACAGATTCCACAGCCTGAGATTGGATGCCACTAGGCCCACCTCTCACCCTGGGTGACAGACACCATCGTTCCCCGCAGGCCATCTCTTGTTCTCCTGTCACTGACTTTCTGCAGGTGGTAGCCATCACAGACATAAACACAGACCTTTCTCCTGAGAATAGACAAGACTAGGACAAGGTCTGAGTGAGAATCACAGTGTGGAATGGAAAAGCTTTAAAACCAGGTCCTGGAAGGCGGCGCAATGACAGCCCTTGACTCAGGGAGGGATTTCCCCCGCCTTCCCTTGTACCTCAGCCTAAGCTGTAAGGACCAAGTCTACATCCACGTGTGGGGGATGACATTTGGGTGTCCCGCTAATAGTCATAAAGCCGTTCTGCCATCTCTGAACGTAAGTGGGCCTTAGCCTTTTCCTTAAATAGCTCATTCACTTCCCCATGCATTTCTTCACGGAGCAAGAATAACTCATGACGCCGTGGCTCCTCAGCTCACACAGTGCCGGGGCAGAATTCTGCTGTACTTTTTGGGAGAGCCAAATCCATGACTATCTTCTCCGAAACATGAATCATAAGATTGTTGGCAGCTTTTCCGTAGTGACCGTGGTAACTCAGGTAGTCCTCTATTTTATTTTATTTTTGTTTAATTGTCAGGGTATTTTCTTTATCAGAGTACCTCATGGTGTGGTGTTCGCTGAGCCGAGAGGTCTCAGGTGGAGGACTGGCCCTCATTTTGAGTGTCTTCCCACAGCACAAGCATAGAGTCCTGCAGGTATGAACCCTGTGGGTGTGAACCCTGGCCAGGAGAGCAAGCAGAGAGCAGACAGTAGAAGCTCATACTAAAATGGCTTTTCTTTTTGCACTTAGACTTTATTGGAGTGTGAAATCTCTACCATGGGCTCCTTCTTCACAATGAATGCCCCTTGAAGAACCACACAAGCCATGTTTAAAGAAATGCAACAGCTCTTGGCAGACTCACACAAGATGTCATGACTAAGCATATAACGGGGCGTGGTCAGCGGCTCAGTTTCTGATTTTGCTGAGAAAATTGGGCGTGGAGGTTGTGAAAGATCGGGGTGAGCTCATCTGCCTGAGCCCTGGGCAGGTCTGACTCACCTTTGGTCTCTACTGGCAAAAATGGCTTCCTGCCCATAGAAAGAGGGCAAGGAGTCTGGCCAGGGCTAGGAGTAAGATGGAAAGTATGAGTTTCATAAACTCATATTAAAGAGGCGAATGGGGGTGAGGGACAGTGGGATGTGAAGGCGGGAGGGTGTTGTGGGAGAACCGTTCAAATTGTAAGCGGATCACCACTAGAAAAAGAAAGCAGTTTCAGAGGTATAAGTGTTTTGCTGCTGCTGGTGCTGAGTGTTAAAACACAGTGTTTTAACCCAACACTCCAGGTGTGGGCACTCTATCCTTCTTCCGTTAGCCCAGGCCATGGTGATGCTTTTTTTGGTTTTTTATTTTTTTAAAGGCAGGGTTTCTCTGTGTAACCCTGGCTGTCCCAGAACTTGCTCTGTAGCCCAGGCTGGCCTCAAACTCAGAGATCTGTGAGCCTCTGCCCCCTGAGTACTGGAGCACTGGGATGAGAGGCCTGTGCCATCACTGCCTGGCTGATGCTCATTCTTACACTCTGCCTTACAGTTAACTGCACACAAATTATCCCTTTTTGTTTGGTTGTTTTTTTTTGGGGGGGGGGTTTCAAGACAGGGTTTCTCTGTGTAGCTTGGCTCCCCTGGACTTGCTTTGCAGACCAGGCTGGCCTCGAACTCAGAGCAATCTGCCTGCCTCTGCCTCCCTGAGTGCTGGGACCACAGGCGTGCGCCACTGCGCCCTACCCACAAGTTATCTCTTAAGTAGCAGGCAAAAAGATTCTCAGAGCAGACCGTAAGGGTGGCCTGCAGACACTAGGGTGAAGAACAGTTAGAGCGATGCCTCTGGGACTCCTGCCTAGACACAGGCTAGCCATCAGGTGGGGACTTTGTACACGGACAGCACAGTTGGTCATGGACGCCCTGTGGCGGCGTCAACCAGCTTCTGGATCATCTCGGCATGAACACCATGGAAAGGCAGCCCATCTACTTCCATGCCCACGATGCCCGAGACTCCACTCCGGACTTGGTTCTGTACCAAGATGTCCAACATTTTTTCTTCCTGGAAGGAAAAACAGAGATGAAGATGAGACAGAAGTCGTGTAGGGAGAGCGAGGGACAAATGAATACATCTCTGAGTGGAAAAGGAGCTTTGGTCGTGAGGTCTCACCATCTCTTCCTCTCTATTCCTCTATCCTCTGTCTATCTCTCCCTGTTTTTTTCTCCCTGCTTTTTTTTTTTATTCCCTTCCTCCTTCTCCTCCTCCTCCTCCTCTCCTCCTCCTCCTCCTCCTCCTCCTCCTCCTCCTCCTCCTCCTCCTCCTCCTAC